TGTCCTGATTTCTCTGTGATCCTGTGTGACTCAAGAGTTGTAAGCTGAATAAACCCCTCCTTCCTGAAGTTGCTTTTGGTCACGGTCTATCATCATCTCAATAGAAACCCTAACTGAAATTTGTACTAGGTTTGAAAAATAGAATATCTAAAAGATAAAGAACCCAGGATAGCAAAGAAACTGAGCCTGACCAACGCTGGACTTCAGAATTTGCCCTTCAGAACACTGTTAACCTAATGGTGAGCTGAGCCTGGCAGAAGAAGTTCATGAACCAGGGGTCTAAAAGAACCTATCCTTTCTGCTTTTCCACATGGGGCTTGAGAAGTATGGCTCAACTCCATTTTTTCAGGTTTGGAGAGGATCTTGTGGCTTAAGAAAAAGATGAGGCAAGTTCTCATTCATGCTTGATCTGTAGATCTCTAATTGGTACTTCTTTCAAAATAGATTTTAATCTATTCTCTAGAGTGACCCATCAGCCCTCAAACATGGTGCTACCATAATAGAGCCTCGCCTAGTGCTGTGTGCTTTGTGAGGAAGTCTGGTGAGATGGTGGTGTGTGTGTGGCTGGGAGCTGAGGATGCTTTGTCAGGATATCCAAGAGTAGCTTAGTCCTCCTCCCCTCTTCATGACAAAACCACAGATAGGGAAGTATACGTAAAAAGGAGCCAACTTGTGTGATTGTTGGCTAGCCAGGAATACAAGCCTTGCTTGTATTATAGTGAGTCTTGGGAAGACTTGACAGTGTGGGCAGCAAGGGTTTACTAACTTTAATCAAAGTGGACTAATCTGTGCTCTACCACCTGAACTCTGCCTAGTTCTGATGACTCAGAGAAGAAGGTATGCATTCATTTGAGTGTGGGGGAAACAGAGTCAACAGGGATGGCATTATTTATTTCTGTAAATTTCCAGTTCTAGAAAACAGTCAGTGAACTACCATACTAGCAAGTATCGTCAGTTCTGCTCTCTCAGGCTAGAGACAGGAGTATTGAATGAAAGAAAGAATTTACATTGAGTCTAACAGAAACCATTGTCCAGCTGTAGGCAGCTCCCACCACCAATTTTTAGTGAAGAAATTGACCCTGCCATTGGAAAAAACAAACCAGAGTACGATGTTCTGGGATTTTATCTAAATCGAGCCTTTACCGTTTTGACATTTAATCATTTTCTTTTCCTCAATAACTTAAAATATACTTGTTATATTAGTATCCAGACAGATGGTCTGCTCTTTCCCTTGGATCTGGGAATTGCTTCCAGTTCTCTCATAATGGTTAGTTTCCTCCATTCCAGAGCCATCTGGATTTCTAAATGATTTCTGAGGTGATTGCTGTAGACAGAGGATGTGTGACTAAGCATATAGGAGTAGCCTGTTTTGAGGCAGAACACCTATGTGAGAGATGTCTTTCCCCTAACCCTTTTCCAGATAAGTCCATTTAGATTAAAATTATTTTTTTTAAAGTTTTGGTTCTTTTTTTAAATCAAATTACTGTCTGTTTTTTTCTCTGTATTTTCTGATTATAAACTATATGTTTTAAGTGAGGTATTTCCTTTTTATTCTTAGGCTTCAAGTGTCCCTTCTGTTCCACGTAGTACATAGGTCTAGAAGGACAGTTGTTCTGATCTTTTTAAACCAGCTATGTTTCTAGCCATTGGCAAGGACCTAGCTGGGGCATCCTGGTTTAAATTGTTAAAACTTCTGCTGAACCACAGCATACATGCCTAATTTTAGCCATTTCTTGGCTGTGTAGCCTGAACTGTAGAAGAGTCTGTCTCATGGTTTCTAGGAAGAGTTGTCTCCTGGATGGTATTTGGATAGACTAGGGGGTCTCCACAAGGTCTGGAGCTAATGTTTCTTCACTCTTCTCCTTTCCCTTCTCTCTTATTTATTCAACTCTCTTCGGCATCTCCCTTTTCCAATGGTCTGGGTGAATCCTACTGAAGCTCAGTTGACCATTCTTGAGTGACGTTAGACATCTACACAGTTCTAAGATGTACATACATGAAGTACACTCCTCCCTCACTTTCCTCTGTAGAACTCATTTCTCCTCTGCTCCAAAAGGCTAGCTGACCTAAAAACTACAAAGGATGGTACTTTTCTTAAGAAGGTGGCTAATGGCATTACATATAAAGGGTACAGCCATTGATTACAGGAAAGCATTGTTAAGGAAGCTGTATCAGGGAATAATCCCAATAAAAGTTAGAACGTTGTGACAGTTATGTTCTGAGGACTTTCTGTTTGTTGAACTCTTGTCTAACTCTTTATAAGAACATAGCAGACGTATAATGCCCTACCCATAAGATACTTATGTGTATCAAGGCTGTCATGTATGTCAAATATTTGTTTCTTGGCTCTAAATCTTATCTTCATCACTGCATTATTAGAGCGATGCTGACTCCTAATACTTACACCTGATCTTTGAGATAATTGTTAGGAGCTACTCCTTAGAGGTGTCAATAAGTTTTGTGTGTGAGTTAGTGAAAGGAATGCTAAGCTCTTCCAGTAGGGTTAGTTTTAGCAGTTTCTTCTGGGTGGGATAACCGGAATCCAAACATCTTAACCCATTCATATATACTCACCTCTAATCATGTCCCATAGTAATGTCATGAAGTGCTTGCCTCTATTGCGGTGTCTGATTGGTGGTTCACATCTTTGGTTTTGTAAAACTTAGACTATGTGGTTTACTCAAAGCATGCATCTGTGGTTATGGGGAGTGTGAGAACCAGCATCTCAGTTACTTTCAGTCACTGGAGTAAGCACCATCACTAAGGCATCTTACAGATGAAAGAGTTGATTTGGACTGACAGCTCCAGAGGTTTAAGAGTCCATCATGGAAGGGAAGCGTGGTGGCCCGAGCAGAAGCTGTGGGCTCCCATCTTAAACCTCAAGCAGGAAGCAAGAAAAGCAAACTCAAGGGCCACAAGTTTTTATGGATTCAAAATCTGCCTCCAGTGACACACCGCCTTCAAGGCCACACTCTAACCCTCCCTAAACAGTTACTAAAAAGGACCATGTATTCAAATGTCAGAGGCTACGGAAGACACTTAGTATTCAAATCATCACCATGGCCACTGATGGAGAGATCACCCCGTCTGTCATTATTTGATTCTTGAAGCATTTTATGTCTAAGTAGGTGGGGTCCTTCATCTTTCATGCCTCTCTTTACTGTTGACAGAGCCCCACTACACACTACTGATCAGCAAGCAGCCCTGGAGAGGACAAGGATAATACATATAATTATATCAAATCCTGTGACTTGGGTTCACTTTAAACAGTTCCAAATAGAAAGATTCCCTCTGTCACTGATATGTTGCTCACCTAAGGACAGAACCTACCAGAGAAACCCTATTTTGGGTTCTTGTCTGGTTATTAACATCATCACTTCTTTTCCAATAGTTACTGATATTTTTCCATTTCATCTTTACAGTTCATGCCTCATGCAAATGCTCAGTTATGTTGGTAGATAATTCAAGAAGCCCTGGACAGCATATTTTATCTAGAGTCTTAGCTGTAGAAGTTGAATGTCTTTCTAATCTCTGCACTGAAAGTTAAAATTACGCATAAATTTTGAAACCATAATATGACCTTTAGACCCCATAGTAGTTTTTATCTACTTTTTCCCATGCCTGTTAACTTAATAAACAAAACACAAAATTTAAAACAACCAAACCTTAAAATTAATAAAATTAGAAAAAAAGCAAGAAAACACAGGTTATCATTGTTGATCCATTTCCAGACAGGGCAAATTTTACCTTGTGACTTTCTATTGAATGTTTCTGTTCATGTGTTGGAGTTACTTTAAGCAAACTGTTCAGATATATAAATTTTAATTTTTCTAACTTTGGGTTCTTCAGCATTGTTACTAATAATATATACTTCTGACTTTCTTGACTAAGAGATTTATCATAATTAGGATTGGTCTATGTTCTTTTGAGATCATGCTGTAACTATGTTTCTAAGTCTGTTTTCTGTGCTTTAATTTTCCCTCCTGACAGTGCAGGTGTACGGTGCAGGTGTACAGTACTGGTGTTCAGAGCAGGTGTTCGGTGCAGGTGTATGGTGCAGGTATATGGTACTGGTGTACAGAGCAGGTGTACAGTGCAGGTGTTCAGTGCAGGTGTATGGTGCAGGTGTACAGTACTGGTGTTCAGAGCAGGTGTACAGGGCAGGTGTACGGTGCAGGTGTATGGTACTGGTGTACAGAGCAGGCGTACAGTGCAGGTGTTCAGTGCAGGTGTATGGTGTAGGTGTACAGTACTGGTGTTCAGAGCAGGTGTACAGTGCTGGTGTACAGTGC